TAATAAATACTAAAATAAATTTAAAAGTAACGAAAATAAGAAAAAATAATAAATAATAAAATAATAATAGAAGAATAAAAATAAGAAAAAAAAAATAATATATATATATATATACATATATAAACAACATAAAAATTGTAAAATTTCTACGATACAGCTTTCCATTATGAGAATCCCCATCATTGCGAATCACAAGCAGGAACGCAAATGATGATCGATACTTATGATCCCATTTGATCTGATTCAAAGTAGCTGTTGAGCGAAGCAGAGAGCCGCGTGATGTGATTATTCGGCGGTCAATTCAATTCGCTTCTCGCTATTTCAGATGATGCCGAAGAGATTGACCGAGCTATCCAGGTGGCTGCTGCTGGCTGGGCTTTTGTGCTGCTCGTCCTGCCAGAATGTACAATCTTCCTTCGAGAATAAAACCAGTAAGTTTCAGACCGCCCACTAACCTCCTGTCCTACACACGTGACGTAACCACTACGTGTCCTGCGAAATATTTTCCGTTGAGCGAATAGAGAGCTCGAGAAAATGGCGAGCTCGCATGTTTAATATTGATAAAATCCTTTTCGTGCTGTCATTACTTTTGTAAAGCTTCGCGGTAACATTCACTCGTGCAAATTTGATTTCCGATGCATGATTTATCAATCTGTTTCAATCGGACGGTAATGCAAGAAGAAGCGTAATGCGTTATGTCACAATATGATATTTCGATAAAACGTAGTGAAATTCTCAACAAAATAATAAGAAATCAGTGAAAAAATTCTTATTATAAAACATGGAAAGAGTTAGATGTCTAAAGTAAATTAAACATACTTATAAATATTTATATTAATTAAGCGTACCTGTCGAAGAAAGTAATTTACAAGCTTACAGTTTTTAATCAGATCAGAGAAAATAAAGAAAATTTGAGATACTTAAAAACGTAGCGAGTGTATTTGCTAATAAGGGCATGAATTTGTTTGATAAGAATCGCCATTAAGTAATTTGTAATTATGTGTGGTGTGATCTTTGCATTTTTTTCGGATTCGAATTTTAGTTATTTTGTTGCACGACAAATTTTACCCATCGGATCGCGCTTGAACTGCAAAAACCATTCTGCGGGTACTTCGATCGTCGTATTGCAGGCGTGGAAGCTGCGGGAAAAAGGATCCGAGTCGGAGAGCGCGTCGGAGAGCGCGACTTCGCGTCGCGACGTCGTGTCGCGACGCTGCCATCACCTCCAACATCCTGCTGGAAATCCGATTTCTTACTTTTTGAACTAGATATTGGATCTTACAGACCGACGAATGTGTACGGTGACCAACGAGTAGAGTAACTCGGCACGTACTTAACTGGAGATACAAGTATTATCGAGTCCAGGTCGATTGACGTTTTGCGCTTTTCCTAACAAAAAAAAAAAGAAAAACGTAAATAATAAATAAATTCGATAAGAAATGCTCGCTCGCGGGAAATCTTTCCGCTCAAAGTGACATAAATGTTTTTATTTCTTCGAGTGCCTCACGTCTGCGCGACAGTGACCACTCCTATGTGTTTGTGTTCCATCTTCACTCATTCTTGACGCATTGCGGTAAAATGAAGAAGTAAAGAAGAAACGGGGAAGAAACACGCCGATCCAAGGCGAATACAGGGGGAAAGTGTCACGAAACTTTTGGCGACAAAAATCTCATCTTGTTTATTCCTTCGTACGCTTGATTAAATTTGTTGATTCATCCGATTTAAGAGACGGGAGACGGAGGAAATTCTTGTGATTAATGCAATGAGGCGTATCAATTCGGCACATCCGTCCACTTTCGCTTCCGAACAGGCTGCCGAACGTTACTATTAATCTTAGCATAAATCTTGATCAAAATTAGCTGCACGTCATGCGTTACGCGTTGCATACGCGTGTGCGTCTCCACGTACGTATCAGTGAGGCGGGTCAGTGGGTCATTCTACTCGGTGCTAAAAGATACGCACGCACGCACGCACGCACGCACGCACGCACGCGCACGGCTGGACGTATCTTCGATTAATTCGTGTGTTTGCGCTGCACGCGATTTTCGCGATCGCATAATTAAATTGTTTTTGTCAGATGGCTAATATGTGACATTTGTGGTAAAAAAAAAAAAGGAAGTCGAAATTTGGCGATCCATACGTCTAATTATTAACGCGGTAAATCATCATTAACGTAAAGTAAATACCTTTAAGTATTAAAAGTTGCTGAAAAACTTACATGAATAATTTATATATCTTTAACTGATACTTGTTCAAATAATTTCTCATATAAATGCGACTTGACCGAATTTATATTTACTTAATTTAACTGAGTTGAGTTTGAAAATGCGATATTTACGGTAATTCTAGATTCTCGCTCACAGGTTCTTACAAAAATGTAAACTTTTAAATTTACTTTTTTAAGTTTCAAAGTTACATATATTTCATTTCAAGAAACAGTGGACATTTTACTTATGAATTTCCTTATTTGCATAACGGTACGGGGACAATTGAATTGCCAAGACTTAAGCGGAAAACGCGATGGCCAATTGCGATCGCTAAAAGTTCTCGTGCGAAGCGTCGCGTCCGTAAGCATTGAATTGTAATTTTTAATTTGCCCCACGTCGTCCTAAGCGGGTTTCTCGCTTCTCGTCGTCCCTCGTCGTTGTTCTATTTTCAAACAACGACGCCTGACACAAAAGTACGAGAAAATAAGTGCGTCGCGCACGCTTTTATCACGCGCGTTTACAATAGCCAACTTTTGCATTTAACGTCCCCCTTAACTTTTGCACTTTTCTCTCCGCCGAATGTGGCTGAGAGTAGCTCGTCGACCCAGCATCCTCTTTCGCAGGAACTCGCTGACCCTCGGGAAAAATCCGTAAAGAACACGATTAATCCCTTCACCGTGTTTTTTTTTCGCGGCGCCGGACGTATATATCGTTCATCGCTTATTTTTCATCTCGACACCTCCTAGTCAGCTCTCTGATGCGATATTTTATTCGAAGCACAAAAAATATCTTTCGAAATTTCGTTAAATTAGATAAAATATGAAAGCACAACGAATGAAATGATAACAAGGTAGAAAATCGCGCAAATATTCACGAACATTATGCTGATTGCCAGTTCAAACATTTAAACGATTAATAACTGTACGGTGTTTCAATGGAAAAAAAAAAACTGTATGATTTATTCCGTTTAACTTTTATACAAGGAATGAATGGTATTCCGAATGGTATCCCCGCTCTCATCGATATAAATACCATGAAATCATTGACTTCCAATTTTCCGAGGGACATTTCCATAATTTTTGCTAAAAGCTTCAATCGAACTGCGATCGAACGGTCTGGTCATATCATCCAAAAAGGAAGGTATTGCGGGGGAATGCAAATCTGTTGCGCGACGGGAGGGGAAGGCGAGGGGGGGGGTGTAACGTACAAATATATGCGCTCAAATATATGCGCGGGACATATTATGGTGGGACGGGCAAATTAAAAGGGAGAAGATATGACTGCGCATTTTGCGCGCTCGATTTCATTCGGCATTGTACCATTTCCCAGGGACCAAAGCGGCACAGGAACGCGGGAATATGTGTCGCGTACAAGCTTAATACATACAAACGAGCGGGAAAATAATCCTACGCGCGCTACGACGACACATAAACACGCGCCCGCGCACAAGCAAAAAAATATAATAACGCTTTCGGTGGCTTTATGCATTTAGGCAGCTACGTTATGCTTCTCACGCTTTGTTCGGGTTACGGAGAGATCTTACCGTTTCCTTTTTCCGCATTGTGCTCGGACGTCGCATAGTTATATACGTACAAATGTAGGGATCTATTAACAATGAGGCATAAATTGTATGCCCGCGCTCTTTAAATCGTGGTTAATTTCAAGTGAAACAAGCCTTTAATCGTCGCGCGAATGTATATCGACCGGTAATCGGACCGGATCGCTTGTAAATGGTGCACCGTTACAACGTAATGCGAAGCTGGCCGTTCATTGAGCTTGAGATTTTATATAAATTAACAGAATTAATTCGCGAGCGTTGCACGTGAGGTTTCAAGTTTCTCGCGATCACTTGATCACGTTAACTCGCGTCGACCGTGTTACATTCGCGTTACGTCGTCGCGTTACATCTCGCTCACGAATCTCCCGAGCCGGGATGATCATTTGCATAATAGGGAGAAACAGCAGCTTCGTAACAATCGCCACATTTTATCTCGCCGGCTCGTATTCATGCCTGTCTCAATTGAAGCTGAGAGATGTAGCCCGACGTTTTCTTTAGCGTCGCACGTCACTTCATTTTCAAACAATGACGCGTGAAGCTCGGCATAAAACTGCGAGGTAACGCAGTCGCTTTTAGCATCCGCATTCGCGTCGCTGAACTTTTCTTTTTCGCGCTCGCTCGCGCGTTTCTCGCCACCTCTGCATTCCTCGGTGCTCTCGTAAATGCGAGCCTTTTGGACGAAGTTACACCGAACGCATCGTTTTCTTTCTTCTTCCTCTTTATAATTGTCGAGAATTTGAGAGGACGCGCGACAACGCCTGTCCTCTCACGGTGATTAAAGGGACCTGAAAATTTCTTGATAGAGAGGCGTTGGCCTCGAACACATCGCTCGATACGAAGAACAGAAAACAGCGGCGGAAGTGCAAGATGCAAGATAAATGTTCACTTCCGGCCTCGTCGATCGCACGCATCGTTTTCGGGCGACGGCAACGGTTCGCGAACACCGCGACAATAAATCCAGCAAGAAAACTTGCCACGGAGTCCATTACTCTGCGCCACGACTCGCAAGTCTCTTAACCTTAATGAATCTTTGCTCGGTTGTCAACCGGGCGTTTCTCCCGTCCCTACCACATTCGCGCTTGAATGCGGGTGAACCTCGAGGCGGGCGTCTTTCGCTTTTCAACAAGACCGTCAGGCGCGCCAAACTCAAAGTGAAAGATTGTCGCGGGGCAGTTTTACATAGCGTTTTCGTATGAATTTCCGGCATAAAGCCGAATCCAGCAAACAAGCAAACGCGAACAAACGCGAACAAACATGAATGAACAATTCGCTTGAATGAGTACGAGTGACAGTGACGGTGCTTTTATGAAAGTTGCTCGTTTCGTATCCATTTACTTGGCTTGGATTAATGCAACGTCCACATTTTACTTTTAAGATATTTCGTATGTCGAAATATTTTACAATCTGGACATTTTCCTAAACGCTTTTTAACGCTAACAATCGTAGACCTCGCGTAAAAATACGTTGACGTTTAAGTGACGTTTATACGCACGTAGGTTTAGGAAATGAAATTTTGCAAAAGGGCGCGAAGATTTAAATCCCGGATGTGCCCGATTCGGGCTCTCCGCAGGGACTCGAACAAAATCTCGTAGCATATAATATTCCCCGAGAAATTACTTAGGCGTCACCTGTCCTCCCGTTTGAAATATGCTCGCGCAAAACTGCGGAGGTCGCGGGTCCTACCGTGCATTATGTAGACAGGTAACACGAGAGACGAAGAGGACACACACGCCAGAGGAGCTCTGACCATCCCGTGTCGTGCGCGTATATATTCGCGAGGCATGACACGTGTATTTATGCGACATGACTGGGGAATACTGGCGCCTGCCGGCTGCCGTGCAGCCGCGGGACATTCCGACACAGCATCTCGCATTTTCGTCCTGACGACGTAATGCTCGTAATGAGGCACCGCAAGGAAGATGACGAGCAACGACGTGCATCACGATTAACGAACGAGATTCTGTTATTTTCACATTTCATACATCTCTCCTTATATATCTCTCCTTTTATTATTTCGTTATCGGACTTTTCCACACTCTTGTTCGTCGAGCGAAATGAAAATATATTTCTCGAATCTTTTTATATTATACTTTCTTTACGAAAACGTATAACTTTTAATATTAATACTTTTTTTCTTTTTACATTCGCGTAAATTCGCTTATATTTTAGTAAGATTAATTTTCTCGTCTCTGTTTTATTTTCCTATTTTAACTTTCGCCCCTTAATCGCCAGTAGCGCGCTAACCGAGCGTTACTGGCGTTACTACCTCTTGAAAGTTACGCTCGAAAATTTTTATTCCCATTTGAAATGTTGTCACGGGCGAACATCCATCTCGATTACGACGGAGCGGAGATTTCTCTCCGGCCGGAGCTCTCCCGGCACTCGAGACGTCAGCGGTACTTCCGTCAGCGCGGCGCGCGTATATGGCGCATTATGCATCGCCGCGTGTATAGCTGGCTGCACCTGTGGCCCGCGCGAGCGCTTTAATGCCCGACGTCTATCGCGTTTACGGCGCCGACCGTAGAGATAGAAACGTCGATTGCCTCGATAATGCCGGAGAAAACGCGTACTCTCGACCAGCCATTATCGGGAGGTTTTCTCGCGAGATATTGGGCGTACGCGGTGCGAGCGCGCGCGCGCGCGCGCGCGTGTGTGTGTGTGCGGCGACATCCGCCGCGTGCGTATGTCGTTTTCCATCCACGTCCGTCCACGTGTGCGCGATCTTGCGTGAAACCTTACGCCGAGATCGTACGCGAGCAACGCGTCCGACGGCCGTTCGTGGCCAATTACGGTAACGCAACACGCCGAGTCCTCCGGACTGGGAATTAAATGAAAACCTTGTCATTATTCTTTTTACAGCCCTCGGCCCACTTGCGAATGTTTCAATCGCCTCCCCGTTCGTACGTGCCGCGTGAATGCTCGCATGTCTCGCGAGAGCCGTTGGAAAACAAATTAATTGCCGGCAGGCTTCCCGGGAAAAACATTCCGCGAAGGCGCCTGCCTCCCGGTCTTCCCCGAGAATTATATTCCCCGTCCCCAATTGCCCGGCGTCTATTTCTCATAAATCGCGACGAGAGGCAGATCGTTGCCGCGCTTGACGAACGGTCGCTGAGGATAGCAATCAGACACTCGACGATAACCGATCGTTACAGGCACGTATCCGATATCGCGGCCGACCGATATCTGCCTTATTTAAACGCGAGTGTCCGTCAACACTCGCGCATGCGAAGCGAAGGCACCCCATACGTCATCTTTCGACGTTGAAAAGAGGCGCTTCTCCTGCTCCTCCTCCTCTTCTTTCTCTCTCCTTCTCCTCCTCCTCCTCTCGACGAGACTTCGTTAAGAGACTCTCTTTCTTTACCTCGCGAAGACGGGCCTTCATCGTTTTCGCGGGGATGGGTCCGTTGCCCGCTATGTCGCTGGAGCCTCAGATACGACGCGACGTGAATTGCAACTTTATAACAGGATCCTCCTCCTCCGTTCCGCCGTGACGTACAGGAAAGCGGATGTATACGGAGGGGGTGGACTACTTAACGTTATCATCATCCTGGATGGCTTACGCGTTCGTTCGTATCGTCGCGCTCGAAAACAAAACTGGCATTGTTTGTCGAGCGAAAGATGTTTGCTACATCTTGAATGTGCTGCGTTCACTCGAAAGCAGCTTAATTCTCTTTTCTCGCGTAGGAAAGCGAAATGCGTAAACATATTTTCGTAAGACCGTGATATCTTCTTTTAATGCTAATCAAGTTCCCCCTCCCCCCCCCCGCCGTTCGGAGTACTACGGTTTCACCTGTTCATGTGAACATTCCCCGAAGAGGCTTACTTGGGGACACGTTTCGCAACATTTCTCCGCGTGACATACATTATCGCTCGAACCGTTGACAATGTAACTGCTGTAGGTAGTTGGCGATAACATAGATTAAAGTCATCATCTCCGGATTTTATTGTGGATTCCCCTCGGAGTATTGCCGCTAGAACGAGAAGCTATTTCAAGATATCGAATGATCCGCGTCCGTGTATACGACGTCGTCTGGCTTGACGATGATGTTAAACGAAAGTGTAGACGGGCGCGTAGACGACGCTCGCTATCGACGTTGCGCGATATCGTGATATTCCAGAAACGTATAAATTTATACGACACGGCTATCCGCGCGCACGTTTCGTCGTATCTCATCGAACCGCGGCCGC